TTGGAATAGTAACGTCAAACCTTGCTGCTAATTCACGCGTAGTTTAAGACGTATCTGCTTCCACTACAGTTTTTAGTTCATCATTATCCATCTTAGTCTCATAGGTCGCTCATGTGAGATCACCACGTTTGGCTCATTTTCAAAATTAAAATTGCCAGAACGGAACTTTTCAAATCATCAGCGTATCGTGCGTTCATTAGTCACATCCTCGCTAAACACATCGTTGATATTTCGAGTTATCTGCGTTGCATTGGTTCCACGACGAAATTTAATTCGAAAATAACGAATTTTCGACTTATCCATGGTTTTACAAAAATTAATCTGAAAAGGACAATTCGAAAAATAACCACAAACCAAAACGTACATTTGCAAGAGTAATTATGTATCTTCACAATAAAAAAAAAACCAAAAACTGTCAAAGTGAAATGTCATAGATATAGACTTTCAAACTTAATTCTGAAGGAAATCGGACAGTTCATACTTAATAGCTTAATAACTTGTTTTGTTTATTACTGCAAAAACACGGTTTTTCGTGGATTGACCATTGGTACTTCCAAACGTTTATCATTTTTAGCACAGTATTATATTACTTTTTAACATATTAATGTATAAAAATACCATTTTTTATCGTATATACTGAGTTTCAAAACGGTTTAAACACTTCTTTATGCAGTTCGAAAATGATTCAATGAAAAAACTTATTATTTGAAAATCAGTTCTCTCATTGGATTGTTTGTGTTTAGAATTATATCGAGAAAAAGCACTCAAACCGTTTTGAAATCTAGAGTATGTATGCGTCTGAACATATTTACAACAAAATATCTTCCCCGTAGCATTTGGTGGATCCTACATGTAACAAATTATACGGGAGTTCTCACGGAAAATGATTCTCTCTGCGCGCTAATGTACAACCCGACGGGTGCAATTAGATGTCGGGTTTCGCCCGAATAGTAGCTGAGTCGAGTCGTGTCATTTAGTCAGCCGGGGAACCAGATCGCCTTTGAAATTTTCAATAATCGGGGAGGGTATCGCCCAAGGCGACGAATTCCTGACGGCCGGACACGGGACGAAGGCATGGTCGTTTTCATCTTATTTATACAACGCCGATATAAACAGCCGGAGGAAGGTCCGCGCCGAATGGCTATTGGGGGCAGTGATTTATTCTGGGTTATTGTCCTGCACGGGGTTTTTGTCCTGGGACTTGCAGCGGTGCAAACGGATACATCATGGCTGCGACGCGCGCCCGAAATGGCAAGAACGTACACGGACCGCTCTGCGCTTACGACATTTCTTGGACCGGATCCCGTGCATCTTTTTCTAACGCGGACACACATACCGGGTGTGGCGATATTACAAATTCCGAACGAACGAACCGTTAACACCGGTACGAATTTTCTGGCTTGCTTGAGGAACGACGTCTGTAAGAAATGACAATGATGTAACTCGAGCTTTTTGACGTTCAACCATTTCTGGTTAACAGCCGCGATGTAGTCCAATGACCATCAAATGATGAGCGAAACCACATATAATAACAATATAAGTATAATAATATTAAAATTTATAAACAAATAAATTATATCTGTAAAGTGTTGGGATTTTTTTATGACAAAATTTTTGTTCATGATATTAATTTGATTATTTGCATAAATTTTTTATCTTGAAAAATCTTTATTCGCTTTGAACTAATGAATAATGAAAATTGTCATTTCATCGCAGCTCACTCAGAAAGAAGAAGTCATTTTACCATAGCAGTTTTACGCTGAAAAAAACATTTTTGATATTAGTAACTATAATCGTATTAATAAAAAAATTATGGTAAGAGGAACCATTTCTCTAAAAAGTGTTACTATAGCGTCAATGATAATCTTAACCATGCATATTGCTATTACTATATTATTTAGATTAAAACCAGAAAAAGATATAGTTAGTGCCGAAAATGATTATAATTTTCGAAGTAATTTTAAAAGTAGGATTTTTCTTAGTATATTAAAGAAGGGAGAACTAGAGATAGTGCTAATCGAGAACTTTGCAGCAACGGTTGTAGTCACCACAGGGACCTTGATGATATCATCTCTATTAATTATCTCCATTAATTAAGCAACGATTAGTCCAAGCGATTATCGTGTCGTGGATGCTGATGCTTGTCATTTAACGTATCTCTTATGTGAACCAGATGCCCATTTTTCTGCATCCTTTCGAAGAAGAAGAAGAGAGAAACTGGATCAGTATCATCGATCAATTTGCGATTCAATTTCCGCGATTGTTGAAGCTACGAAAATTAACGAAATTCTAGTCGACAGATAGATCAGTAAAAGCAATACGTTGGAAAAATTATGAGGAAAAGTTCCCCGTGAAACTCGAGTTCAACATATTCTGTGTTTTACAAGAAGCACTTTAGATAAATCAATAGTGCATCTTTTGAGTGCAACTTACTGTTTATATCAAATGTGTTTCTGCTGCTATCGACATTAGCGATTTGATAGATACTGTTAGTGATGAGTAATTGTACAAGTTAATTAACTTTACCGATGATTCTGTAACCGAGATAGATAACTAGAGGTAGAGGTAGATAACTAGAGATAGACAATCGTAGAAAGCAAAAAGTAGATATCTTTGAATATATTCTATATATATCTCTAATTTTTTATTATTTTTTTATTATTTATGATTTTGTTATTAAATATAATTTTTTAATGATAATTAGTTAAATTTAATACAAGATAATTAACATAAGATTAATATAAATTAGTTTTTCGAATTGAAGATAATTTTAACCATCCCCACCGGTTATTCAACGAAATATTCACAATATTCGCATTCCAACCCAGAGATAATTGTTTTAGCTTTGGACAAAATCGCCTCTCGACGCCATTCTCCCATCAATTATTGTTATTGCTGATCAACGTAGCATTGTTATTAACCCCTTAGTATATTCAAAGGCGATATATGTACATATAATACATCGTGAGACAGTCTGCCGCGTTTTTACTTGATATTTGATATTATCAGTGGTATAGATTTTTGAGGGCATAAAGGACATAAAAAACATATTCATGCATTATATAAATTATGCATCAGATTCATCTTTCGATTTCATCTCTCCTCAAATTGTAATTATTACGCAGAAATAAACATATTCTTTTTTTCAAACAGAGTAAATTAATTTCATGTTCGTTAGTATTACGCGTAAATAAATCGCAATGCAAAACACATTGCGACGTTGGACCATTATATTCATTGTTATCGCGCTAAAATGAATTTTTCGATCAGACGAACGATTGGGAATACTATGAGAGCGAAAATAAATGAAAGTTCCTAATGATCCTGCGATTTTAAATCACCCATTTTATCATTCGCGTTTGAAGGATAAGTGGGTGTAAATTACAAATGAAATATAAGTAATTGGCGGCGCGGTACTGCCATACCAGACTCCGAAACTGCGCGGAATTTACGAGCCACGCCATGTAAAGCCGTAACGATATAAATTTTTGATTCCGATAAACTTCTCGACATAAATCAATAGCCCGCGATAGCGTAAGGAATGGTGGTAACAAATAAAGTTGTCGTTCGATATTTATATGATCGTTACGCCTACGAGATATTGATAGTGGTGCAATAAATTTCCGCGCAAGATTGTAGAGGAGATCGATTAATAATAATAATCCGCATTAAGGTAAAATAACAATTTAGATTATATCGTGGATATGCATCGATATGGAAATTTCTCGCGCGGCGACTAAGCTACGATAAATTTGACTTCTCGGCCGTTACTCAGCTGGTTAATTTCAGCGAAGTATAGAAACAGCAGGCGTGAATTGAATGGAATGCGACATGCTCGCTCAGTTTATATCGCAAATACTAGATAAAATCTACGAATACGAGGCGTGATAGGCCATTGAATGCAATAGGCTTCCCCAAAGTCTATCGACTTTTATATCTTTCGAATACGCACGAAGTTCTGATGCCGATTCAACCTTCAAAGGATAACAAAGGCGGGTCGATAAATATATGACTATTAATATGAGAATTATGCCGTAGTCCCGTCTAAATGGACAAACTATGTCGTCCAGATGGACAAACTATGTAATCGTGTTTCTGCTTGCTTTGCCAACAGAGTTCATAATTCCCGCCCAAACTGAAAAGGAGGCCCGCTCGCGCCTTGCAGCGCTGCGTACCCACTCATTGTGTTTTCTATTCTCGCAGAGTCAACTGGCTTCATTGTTTGTTTACGTTATTTTTCATAATATATTCCTTTTATGACGAAACACAGGAGGAATCGATTTCCGAGTTCTTCGAGGAGGAGTAAACATGAACACAAGGAGAGATACAACAGGAGGTCGCGCTCGCAGTCGCGTTCACGTTCTAACTTATCTCGGAGGTCACTGCGTAAAAACTCAACGAAACATTCAACCCATCGTTCGTTGTCTTGTGAACGATTAATGGAAACGATGAGCGAGTTTCTTAACTACATAAAGCGTCATGACCCTCCGTCACTCAGCGAAGTGTCGGAGGATATTGAAACACTAGCGAGTCTTGTCCAGTCTGAGGACATCACGATATTCCTGGACGGACCTTAGCAAAGTATCCGCCATATCCGAAATGTAGGTAGACGAGCAGACGGCCACTAGTAGCCGTGGCGACGAACCAGGTATATCCCCTTCGTAGTTTCGACTCGAGGACTTGATATGAAGGGAACCGACCGCTCACTCCTATTGTATTTTTCTCTCTTTCCTTGCGGCGATTATTTCCTCGTTACCTATTGAAGCAACGAACATCGTCACTTTCTCTAAGCTTATTGTTACAGCCAATATCGAGGACACTAGACCCGGCGAAAAAAGACCTGAGTCAGACACCGCTTGACCTGGAACTGTTCGGAGAACAATCCCAACTGCCTGCTGTGGCATCATGGTTACCTGTGATTCTTAATATTATACCAAATCCGAGGTTTATTCGGACCTTGGGAAAGATATGAGAGGTAATCTCCTTGCCAAGTATGAACCATGGGTGACCTAACGTTCCTTAGCCCACCAAAAGTGAACAAGGAGATTCTCCCTAACCTGGGCCCTGTAGTTATCGCTCGAGATAAGCATCAGATAGATGCTCAAGCCCAAGTGAGAGCAGTATTAAATGTCCTTGGTAAAAAATCCTCTGGAATTTCGGAGCTTTCAAAACTCGAATGTTTTCAAGCTTCAGCAGAAGATAAGTCCACCGCAATTAAGATCGCGGAGGGTATCCGCCTATTAGCGGACCATCATTTTCGTCTTTCTCAGACGAGGAGGGCTTTTATAGTCCCGTCTCTGAACTTCTTGGACAAGACCGCATTTGACTCGGCCTCTATTGACGACTGCCTTTTTGGAAGTAATTTTGCCGAGGAAATTAATGCTGCGCAGTCAGTTGAAAAAGTAGCTCGAAAAATGATTAGAAAAGTTCACCAGCCTCCAGTTCAACAGGCCCGACATCCAATAACGCAACAATTGAAGCAGCAGAACAATGTACTTTTTCACGAAGTGCAACGGAAACCGGAAAACACGAGACCCCTTCTTCGCAAATTTTTGTCGGCACATCAATCGAAGAGGGACCTTCGTTTGATGAGCCGCAACAGGAGATCGTCTTTCCAATCTAGAGTTCGAACCCGGCATTAAACCTAGCAGAATCGGCGAATCGCTTGGCACTTTTGCGGACAGATGGAGAGAGATAACTTCTGATCCTAAGGTGCAAGCATTAAAAGGCTATAAAATTCTCTTCTCCACAGCACTTCAACTTCGCCCCTCTTTGAGAGAGCCATCATTCTCTCTAATTGAGACCGAAATTTGTACTGCCGAAATCAAGCGATTATGTCCAAAAATCGTCGATCCTTTGGAGGATCAGTTTCTATCTTCCTTTTTTCTAGTTAAGAAATCTTCAGGAGAAATGCGCTTCATCTTAAATCTACGAGACTTGAACGCGTACATCTCGCCTCCACATTTCGAAGTGGAAAATTCATATATAGTGGTTCGATTCATGATCCTGAATTGTTGGATGGCCTCAGTAGATCTTGAGGATGCATACCTGTTAGTACCCAGTGCACTCCTCTCATAGAAGATTCCTTCGCTTCAAATGGAAAGGTATATTTTACGAATTTACCTCCCTTTTGATTCGTCTATGGCACCATATATTTTCACAAAAATTCTATGTAATTAAGATATTCAAGGAGAAAGGTTTCCAATCAGTTATACACCTAGATGATTTCCTACTTTTAGGTTCTTTTGAGAACGAGTGCCAGAGAAATATTGACGCAACTCTTAACTTGCTCTTATCTTTAGGTTTTCTGGTAAACTATGTCAAGTTGCAGCTTAAGCCCTCATCTAAATGTAAATACTTAGGATTTATCTTTAATTCAATCCAACAACGCTCCAAACGTAGTAGTCCAATGGATTAAGGTCTGGACTATTTGGAGGCCAAAACGCTTTTGACCAAAACATATCGATGTTGTCAGAAAGCCAGTTTGGAACCAAGTGGCTCATGTGAGCGGGTGCGCCGTCTTATTGAAATATGTACGGCCTTTCTGAGGCTATATTCTCCATCCAAGGCTTTACTACCGTCGATAAAACTTGCATGTACACCTCTTTTATGACCGTTTCACCCTTCTCAAAGAAATGAGGCGGCATGAGCATCACGAGCACGTGGATGCTCGCTGGAAACTGTCCTGGCTACAACAGGGACATCTTCGGATCTTGGGCGAGCCAACGGTCGTTCCTACGATTCACCTTGTGGCATCCACAGTGAAAATCTTTTCGTCTGAAAAAATCTGAGGCGGCCGGATGCTTCGTTCTTGAGCGAACACAGCAACAAGCAGCAGTGGGCAACTCTCTTGATCTTGACGTCTTCCGAAGCATTTGTCTCACTTTAATGACGTAAGATGTGTATCTCAGATGAATCTCTTGAATTGGCCGCCTAGATCGTGTGATTTAACACCGCTAGACTATTTTTTTTAGAGCTATGTGAAAGATAAGGTCTACTCTAATGCTCCGCGAACGATTCGAGGGCTCAAGGACAATATCAAAAGATTCACGAAATTGAGCCGTGATTATGCGAAAATGTGAGAATGTGACAATATATACATTTGTTGTCTTCATTTATCTATGATGATAAAACGCGCTTAACTAACTCTCCCTTAAACGTAATAATTTTCAGCCATGAATATTCGCAATGTATTTCTATATAATTAGATTCTCTAATTTTCCCATTAATTATATCTGCTTCTTGAAACATTTTTTTTATTAGCACTTGGCTAATAACCAAACACTGAAGTACATAAAAACAGTGAAGAACGAAGAGAACAAAGAAAAAATATTGACAAAGACGAGTTAGACCTTGAGACCATATAGGCGATACGTTGTAAACACATCTATCGTAGCCTAAACTTATCTATTAGATATACTTATAACTAACGGAAAGTTAAGCGCATATGTATGACCATAGACATAATAAGAATAGATTGAGCATGAGGCACGAGAACTGAAGATCGGATAAAAAGAGAGGGACGATAGATGCCGTGTAGCTTTCTCTCTCTAATGAGGGAAGAATGGGAAAAAAGAGGGTTAAGAAAAAGTGAACAGCTAAATATTCTTTCGTTCACATATCAGAAAAAGTTATATAGTAATGAGAAAATTAGTAGTGCGTGAACGATCGAGTATTTAGCTGCTGCTCACTCTTTTTTAAACTCTTTCTCCCCATTTCCCCGCACTTTCTTTCTCCACCCACTCTTTCCTCATTAGAAAGAAAAAGCTACACAGCACCTATTGTCCGTCTCTTTCATTCTGATCTTCACTGCTTACTAGAGGACATGCTCGGTCTATTCTTACTATGTCTAGGTGCACGACAAAGGATGCGTTATATTATTAGGTTATCCGAGAGTTCGTACGAGTTTCAGCAGATATCTCTATGAGCGTTATGTAATCTGTCAAAATGATTGAAAGTATATGATGTCTATATCGTTTAATAAGTGATATTTCAACGCGTCACTTAGTAAATGTTTGCTTATTTTATTTTCCGAGTTATCGTCCCGTCCTTCATAGATTTGTTTCTGACATTTCGTGGACATTTCAGTTCATTTTATGTTGCAACCCAAGATTGCCGCTCCTGCCCTGGACTTCTCTTCATATGAGCCCATTGAACGGTTGAAAAGCGGGGCTCAAATGAGCGTTCCTTAAATGAGAAAAACGTCATATGAGGGAGGATTCATGATAGATAGGCAGACTGCCAAATTAAACTGATTCTTATCACGCTATCTCTCTTGAAGTTGTTGAGATATCTTTAAATTTCTATGATAATCTCCTTAAACAGAAACCGGGCGCAATTAGGAAGAATTAGTTAATCAACCATTCCAAAACGCAAGTTCATTTTTGCTCTTCCCTAATGACCCAAAACTCCTAATGACGCTGTCCATTGTGTTTTCTCCATATTTCTCCATAAATATATTGACTTAAATGTAGATAGAAGTAGATGTATACATAAGTTAACGTTAATTATTTCCCGTGACACCCCGTGATCCCCATATAATGAAGATTTCCACGCGAGATACCGCCGAATTCTTACGTATGCGTCGAAGGAAAATACAAGGCGTACTTGGACTCTTGATCCTATTTATATTGACCACGAAACAATGGAAGAATGTGCATCCTTGGACGCGAGACAATAGAGTCCTACGATATGCTATTACGTTATATCCGTTCTCTCTCTCGTGAAAAATGTGGAAACGTGAATAGCGTGAATCATTTTTTCGTATCAATTTGCTTGTCGCGAATCGTCGAATAGGGAAGAAAATCCCGGCGAAATAACGCCCCGCGATATGTTCGACATGCGGCTGTGTGTAAAGCAACGTAAAATATTGCGCGTTTGCTGAAGCAAGAATCATTATTGATTCTTCAAATCGATGTTCGCATCATTTCTGCAAACGCGGCAAATTACCCAGATTTGTTGCGCCGTCGAAGACGATTGGGTCATAATTGTGCGTTGCACTTCATGAATTGCTCAAATGAATTCAACCCGCGTTTTGGTCCTACTTTTGTAATTCTCAGATGTAATATCGATTGTAACTTTATCTTTAAAATAAAAAAATTATCTAACGATAATTTTATCTGGCACGCGCGCTTCGAACATATTCAACAAAATAATAGGCAATAAGCCGAACTTTATATAAAGAAAAATGGCTTCCCTCACAGCACCGAATATTGCAATAAGATTATTGGGTGGTTATAAACATGGTCTTATACATTTTAATGAGAATGTAAAGTGAAAAATTATAGTCAGGAGAAACATATTCCTAGAAATATTATAATGTCAGTGGTAATAACTTTACATGCATATTGTTACCACTTTTTTCGATTAAAACTAAAAAAGAATAGTCGGAGATAAAAATGACTATAATTTTAGGCTTTCTCTTGGTTCATTCTATATGATTGAATATATATTTTCGTTCAAAATTGAAGGGCGAATCCGACAAACTCCACTATCCCGTTAAGACAAATTTGCGCTAATTGATTGAAACATTCATTCAAATGGATCCGCTCATAGTTTAGATTCAACATTTTAGTCTTGTGATATCCCCAGTGGTAGTATTTTCACAATCGTTTCGAATAAATTTTTATTTGCTTTAAGTAAGACTTTACTTCAAGAAATTTAAAGAGCACGATAACTTTTGATGCATCCCAATGCGCGATTATCCCTTTTATCAATGCGAATATGCGGGTATTCATTCCGAATCGGGTGCGAGCTGTCGAACGTGTCAAAACATGATTTATAGACACGAAGCAGGTATACCGAGGGCCTTTATTGTTCAAGAACTTTCTAAAGTGCAACAGAAAAGAATGCATGAGGCTTAACAGCTGTTATAACGTTTTCACATTGCCAAATATGTGCTAAAATACCCAGGTACACGAGTACTCGGTGCATTGACGAAAAGGTTAAAAGTTATGCATTAATAGATAACTTATTGTTTTTATTATGGATTTATTATAGTTAAGACTCAAAAATTCCTACAAAATCTTGTTATAGAATAAAAAAATTATTAATATATTATTACACAGAATATATTTCAGGAACGAGATTGACAAATCTGAGTATCTGATTTTTGTAATCACATAACGTTATATTTTTTGAAAAATGATTGGAAGCTTGAAAGAAAAGAAACCCCGAATACTCAGTATTTTTTATTGAACTTTAATTTTACAACATTTTGTACTTATTAACATCTATTCCATTCAGCCAGATCTATCAATGTAAATTTAGTCAAATATTTACTAAAAATTTTGTTGATGAAATGGTATCAGGTTTAATACAAAATCTGTTAGGTCAGACATTGTAAACAGATTGCCAGCGGAAATAGGGTAAAACTAATATAATATGCAGGCAGATTGATGTCAAAAACCAAGTAAAATTTGCATGAAAGTTAATTGTTAGTTAAGTTAAGAAATTAAACACCAAATTGATGTCAAAAACCGAGCAAGATCTGTGCGGCGCGGTTTGGCGCCATATTGATAAAAAACCAAGGAAAATCTATTATTTCAATTTAAATCTATTATTTAGTTAAAATATTATTTAAATTTAAAATTAAATGAAAAAGAAATATTTATCATTTATGTCAAAGGGAGAGAGTAGAATCCCGAGTAGCATAAATTAATTGGTTAACCGTTGCTTAACATTTGACCAACGTTAGCAAACTGTAAGTCAATCAACCCTTTGTGTTGCACTGAAAAAATCTAAAAATAGTTAACAAATACATTTAATTGAATGTTTCAATATTTCATAATTAATATTATATATAATAATTATTATTAATTGTTTGGTAATATTCTTTCAATGTGACTTCCAAGTTGGCGCCGTGTCTTTTGAGAATTTCTATCTGACGTTTCATGAACCGAAATGTGGCTCGGAAGCCACATCGAATGTTTATCCATACCGCGAAACTTAAAATTCCCAAATTTTTTACATATTTTTTTTTTAATATAAATAACAGACCTTACTCGTTATTTGGCGATAAATCGGTGTCACAGGTTACGTACACAATAGCTAGCTAAATACAAACTTATTGCAGATGGCATCGGATTTGTCAACAAATTTTTAGCGAATTTGGTGGCTATTTGATTACAATTTGTTACCAAATTGTTCACTGGGTACCTTTTATGAAAAATATACTGAGAAAGCAAAAACGGTTAATCTGTGTAAAATTAGTCATTTTCCGAGAATCTTCTTGTTGTTTAAAAAAAAAACGTAGTAGTGGTAGAGCAATGTGTATATAAGGTTATCATTATTAATACTATAATAATATTTTGTTATAAAAACGTTTCTTAATATAATTCTTTCACTACGCGATTATAGCCCTAAATACCAAATACTTTTTCGCAATGTATGATGAAAATATGATACGTGCGATAAGAAAATATGGCACGTTGACGGTAAAAATATGCAAGACGCATTCTAATGTAAAAAAAGTATCGGGAGAGAACGGTCAGCCTTTCAAATAGATTCAAATAGATAGATTAAGATCCAAGGGCATTTGGAAGAATTTAGCAATTAATGGCGATAAGAAATTGGCAAGCCACTATTCTCGTTGACGGGAGTAGAGCATAAAGGACGCTCCCCCGAGAGTCACTTCGCAACGATCGAGCAACCTTCGACGCGTTACGTAAGCGATGGGAACACTTACGTGTGCGAAAACCTGTTGTCGAACGCGCACCTAGGGAAAACATTGCACGTGTACGTTTGCCTTTCTAGAAAATGCGGTCACGCTTCGCAAGGAAATTTGCGCTTTACAATGTATGACGATGACAGATTTCCCTATGGTGCGAGCCCGGCATAATTTTCGAGGCGATAATTTTGATTTCAATGAAATAATTTGCAGATTAAGAGATGTCCAGTAAGAAATCATTAATACAACGTTATTAGAATGATATTTTATAACATGTAACGTTTTCAAATATATAGTTCTTAATGTTACATACGTCATTGTTAACAATATTTGTCGTAAACGTTAAAAATAATATTTCTACACTATGATATTAATGTTTATAAATATTGCATATTATTTATTTTATTAAATATTATTTATGAATATTTTATATATTATCAAGTAATAGTTTTAAAACATTTATAAAATATTATATCAAAATGTTTATAAAATCCGCATAAAATCAATGTTCCAAAAAATTGATTTAATGTTTCTTGCTTAGTGGGAGCTGATCCTAACAACATTCTCCGAATTTAATCTTGGGTCCTGAATTACATATTAAGCCTCGATAATCGAGAGTGTTTTTTTGCTTCTTTTAATATATGTGAGAGACTCAAAAGATTTAGGCGCTAAATTTATTCTACTACGGTCTTTTGAAGCAAGGGGACTTTAACGATCGTTGTTATACGCGTTATTGCAATGAGTTTAACGCAAGTTGAGCTCAATGCGCATACATAACTTCTATTGCATCTGGCGATGTCGCAATAGAAACAACCAATCAATATGAATAAAGGCACGTATATTTGGTTTTAATACGGTTTGAATAATTTTCTTAAATTTATGGAAATTAACAAGAAAACATGTTCTCTCGATGGACCATCGGCTGCGTTTCAAACTGTATCGATAGAACGTATTCAAACCGTATTAAAACCAAGCGTACATATAAAAATAAGCAATATCAGAAGTGGTTCAAACGTAAGCGATTACGGATGACCCTAACGTCAAACGTCTATACTTATATGAAACTATAACCCAGTATACAACAACCAATAGTAACATAACATCAATGTTATAATTTCCCACTCAACAACGTAACTGTTACATAATACATTCATTATATTGCATTTATATTGTTGAGTGGGAAATTATAACATTAATGTTATGTTACCGTTAGTTGACGTTCACTAGGAAGGTGAAGAAAAGGCATGATGTAAAAATTCGATCGTGTTGCTATGCATGAATTGACGAACTGCCGTCAATTAAACATCCCCGTAGAACCTTATAACCCCGCGTTAAAATTACAGTCGAGTCACGTTATAGGAATACTTAACAAGAGGATATACATCAAGAGTCGTCTGCAGTGCGCGCACGTTGCGAATCAATTTCGTCGTGCCATCGTACGAATGTCGGCTCGATAAAAGAGAAAAATTTAAAAGGCGTATTGACAGTCGCTCTCGTGTCGACTACACGACAAAACAGTTGACCGGAAAAGAAATCGAGAGAGGCTCGCTCCGTTTCCGATAGCGCGACCGAGACGGAAGAGCAACATTCATGTGTTACTTACACATGTAAGGAAAATCGATCACGCGTCAGGCCGCTCGACGAGGGTGTAGTGACGCCAACGACGGTAGTGGGGCGTACCTTCGCTTGGTTTCTCCCTCGCTGTCTGAACCAACTCCACAAGTCTGGCAACACTTGATCAGGTGGTTGAAAGGGTCACACAATACACATTCGCAGGTACACTTAATCACGAGCAACGACTACCGGACGACAACGCGACACTCTGATGACGCAACATGGCAAAGCATGTTTTGATGTATCGAAAGACGAGGAGCGAAGCGAGAAGACCGGAGCAATGCGACCGACAGCAGCGGCGGCACCAGCAACAACGGCAACGACGATGACGACGATCGAACGATACACCCAACCTGACTGAACTCGCACTCGCGACTGATCGCTTGCGCGCGCTTGTCTAGCGATCCGACTACAGCGCCGCTCACGGAAGCCGATGGAAACGTGCGCTGCAAACGTCAAATTTCGATCGGCGCGTGCTCGCTACGCAGACGGCAACATATGTACGTGAGTACTTATATATATATGTATGTATATAAGCACGTATACGTGTATAAACATAAATAAAACTCCATCTACATAGCTCGCAAAACACAACATGCAGACGCAAGATGACGTTCAACAAATGCAAGGAGCTGATCGTCATATCTGCGTTTGAGACCTACGTCTTGCGTTCTGCGAGCTATGTAGACCGGGCTTAATACAGCCGAGCGGAGTGTACGCGCACGTTGTAAAAAAATCCGCGACGGCGAATGTGGCAACGAAATCGCGCGCACAGAACTTCTCCTCCCTCACGTTTCTTCTGATGAAACGACTCTCGATAAACGGACAAATCTCTTATATGACGCGTCGTATCGTTATCTCAATGAGAATTCCTCGTAGCATTTTCCAACACCCAGAGAGAGAGAGAGAGAGAGAGAAAGCGAGCGAGCGAGCGCACGAAAGTCCCTGGCAGGAAATGTATGTAATATGTTGTCGCGCGTACGGCCTTTGAGATTTGATATTCCTCCGCAAATCGGCGGTGTTGCGAGCGTATCGCGAAATGAAGGTAAACCTCTTCGGAAGTGAGGAATGTTAAAGCGACAAAAATCGTGAAAGGTGGCAGGTGAGAGGAGACCTCATAAAAATAATAAGTAATGGGGGGTGAAATATTTTTAACTTTGTCGATCGAAATACCTCGACATGTATATGTGTGCGTGTATATGTATTTATGGGAGAAACGCATATCGATTCTATATTTCTTATATTCTATTCCCATAATGTATGAAAAGTTTATATAACGCGACATATCGATAATACAACGTAATTATTTTATTTTATTTCTTTTATTTTTTCGTGTCGAAGGAAATGTTCTAGAAAGTACGGACTTGAAAATATGCCTAATGCACATACAGGAAATTATAACGAGAATTTATTTTCAAATGTTAATATCGAATTTAACGATTAATTAGATATTAAGAAATTTTATATTTTACATGTAAGGCTAGAATTCTAAGATGAATGTTTCAGAGGACAAAAATGTAAAATGAAGTTTGACGCGTGTTAATTTCCATTTCAGATACGATAAGAGTAGTTTACTTATACCGAATGTTTTTTATGATAACAAAATAAATCATTTTAGGCTTTGAAAACGATATTGCAGCCATTTGGCTGCATAACTATTTTGCTGTAATGAGATTATCATAATTACATTATAGCAGTGGCAGTCGGAATAATAAAAAATAAACAACTTAATAAACAGAGTTTTTCATATATAAATTAATATTCAATAAAAGTTAAATTTTGATTTTAAAATTACGTAAAAATATTGAGAAGAGAATTTAACAAAAATTTGTATTCAACTATAATTGAGTCTCGGAGAAACCAGCCTTCGCTTCGATAAATTTAAATCAAATTTAGAGATTAATTTTGTTTAATCATTGTAAAGATATCTTAAAGATATCTTATGTTCCAATTTTAGATATTATGCTGTCAAAGAACCTATATTTCTTACATATTGAACATGACAATTGATAAAAATATATATTTGTAATATTGCAACAATAAAATTTATTTCACAATTATCACATACAAGTAAAGCGAATAACTACCCATAAAAACTAGTATATAAAAATTAAATATCTTAGAAGTTGAAATGTATTAATATTTCATAAACGTTAAAATTAACTGTATTGTTTAAAAAATGGCAAATAATGTTACATATATTCTCCTCCAGCACATTAAGAAACTTTTAATGATTAACAGATTCAAGTTCTGACAAATTCATTAAATTTACGTCGACAGAATTAATGACGTCTGAACGATGAAACATGCGAATACATAAATATGCGCATTGTAAATGCTACAAAATTGCTGATATGATAGCTGATATGATCAAACACGATATGCAACGAACTTGAGAACGCAAAATCGGGCGTCGCTAGTGAACACTAGCGACTTGTCAATTTCAAATATTAAATAATGATCCTAAGAGAGACAAAGTCCTGGCTTAATTTCATCTCGGTGTCTCAGTTATTAGTCCTCAATTATTAGGCGTACAAATTAATCGGCCCTAATAAATTTAATATTAAATCAATAATATATTATTAAATCAGTTATAACACTTAATTAAGCGGAAAGTTTTTACTAACTTTAGGACTATACAGTACCAACACAATCAACCATAAAACGGGAATATATAGTTGATATGACCTCAAACAATTCACCGTGAGTGTAATAAACACGATGGCATCTGATAAGTAACACTTTAGGCACTGTTCGCTTTTCGCATTTCAGTTAAGAAAAAACATCCGAAGCAAAGAAAATAATTTGTAAGGCATTAAAGGCAGGTGCTGTCTTCTAACACGTGTAAAAAATTGTTCCAGAAGTTCCGGAATGGAAACTTTAACCTGGAGGATGACGAACGTCCTAAACAATCCAAAAAGATGGAAGACGACGATCTGGAGAAGCTGCTGGCCAAAAATTCATGCCAAACCCAAGTAGAATTAGCTGCAGCGTTAGGAGTTACCCAGCGTTAGGAGTTACCCCAGCAAATCATTTTTATCTGGTTAAAAATGCTGGGTAAAACTCAAAAAGAGAATCGTTGGGTTCCGTAAGTGCTCTTCGTTGACAACAAAGCAAGACGCTGCGATACGGCTTTCTTTTTGTTATCCAGGTTCAAGAGGAAGAGTTTTTTGCATAAATTAGTGACCAGTGATGAAACGTGGGCGTATTATGATAATCTCAAAAGACGAAAAGCGTGGGTTAATCCTAGTGAACTGTCAACATCGATCACAAAACCCAATATTCATGGCAAAAAACTCCATTTATGATTTTGTGGGACTTCAAGGATATGATATATTATGAATTGTTAAAATCGAGTGAAACTATTATTGCTGAGCGTTACAAACATCAACTTTTGCGTTTAAATGACGAAATCGAACGCAAGAGATCTTTTACGGGCAACGGGCCTAGGCCGATCATTCCACTGCACGATAACGCGAGATCACATACGGCAAAAAAAACCAAGAACATGCTTGATTCGTTGGGCTGGAAAATTTTGCCACATTCGGCGTATTCACCGGATCTAGGCCCGTCAGATTTTCACTTCCCATACAGCACCGAAATCTTTTAGATATTTCAGAAATGTTTCATGTGAAAAAATGGAACATCCCAGAAACGATTCAAAATGTTTCTGAGACAGCTCTGAGACGGTTTTGGGATAGCAAAATATTTGCGAATCATGCACTTAAAATCTTCCTGAAGATGTGCCGAAAAGTTACTGAAATATGTCTAAAACATTTCTGAATATTTGTTGAAAAGTTATTGAAATAGTTACTTATATGCATAATTACGTTTATTTATTCATAAATTATGTATTAATATTGTTTACACATTTCAGTATCGTGTATTATGAAAAATATAACAGTTAAATAAAATAATTTAAAAAATTTAATAACATTTGTAATGAGGAGCCCGCAGGCTCTCGTTACCCGGCCGACAACGCCGTAGGCCGAAGGGTGCGCAACATCACGCGCCAACCACTCGCCAAACACCGGGCAAGTAGAACTGCGAAGGTGGCGCTAGACGGCGTATGAACAGTGCCGTTCATGAGAATGATGTTACTGCAAGACGCGCGCGAGTGGTGCGCTCGGAACACCGTTAGGCGGCGTACCCGTCTGACCCCACTCGCTCAACGGCGAGATCGCGGCGCGCAGTCTATAAGTAGGCCGTGCAGCGCGTCAGGCATTCACTCGTTCTCCGGCGAGCTTTAGAGAGCATGATACACGGAGACAAAACCCAGCGGACTCCACCGACAAAGCATGAGTAACTGATGTCAGTGCCCTAGTTCACAGCATGGGAGCCGACCAACCGGTATCANCGACGAAGCTAGATCCACCGGTACCGGGGATCGTTTCCACCATTAATCCGCCGTTCTCACATCGAACCTCCGCGGCGGACCCGTGACGTCCGATAGCAATAGCCAATCTCCCGAACGGCCGTCGAACCAAGGGGGACAGGACTTCGCACGCTACCGACAACAACCATAAAAAAAACACGAAAAGAATGCGGTGAAGCGGCCTTACAAATGCGGGCTCCGGGCGGCTTGCTCTGTCTGAATGACCCTCGGTTGTCGGCTCGGTCTCTCGCTACCATTCCGCTCACGCTCGCTCTTTCGTCAGCAAAATCGGTATCCTTTCGTCTCAAGCACTAATCTACCGGAAGCCAAGGTCGGCTGCGATAAGAATTTGACTGGAGTCGCGAGAGTAACTCTCCACCGAGAAGATTGTTCGTTTTAAATGACATTCCCCCTTCCTTTGTGGTTCCGAAATCCCCTCCTCGAAAGCTGGATTCTTACCGGCGGTTACCGAGTCGCTTCGAATCCGTCCTTGTGCGCGACTTCGGCCAGCCGGCCTTACCACTGCAGAAGGGACCGAACACGACACCCTAGGCAGTGCCGATAGCGGCTCCTCGATAGCCGCCAAAGGACATTAATATTAAGTCCTGACACGCGTAACGTGCCACGACATGCGACCTTAGCCCTTAGGCTATACGCTACCAAACATCTATATTCTATCTTTCCAGCTTTGGCAACGATTAACAAGAAAGCGAGCGAAGTCGTGGAAAATCCAGCAGCGCTTGCGGGCGTACTTCGCAGGATAGGCAGTTCGGCCATGACCGGTGCACGCCTCCTAACCCTCCAATCGCGCGCGGGGTGTGCGGTAAACCGCTCTAGCCTCCACGCGGCCTGTGCACAGCTATGCCCACGGGGACCACGGGGAGGCCTGCACATTTGTGTCCCGATCCTGGACATACACTTTGACCATATTGACTCTATTCATATTTTGGACAGGTAATAGGATGAGGTGTTCTAAATGAAATGAGATATGAATGGATGCAAGGATACAAGATCCTGCCAGCCATTGGATAACGGGTGGGACCCTGCCTAGTTTGGAAGCTAAACCCTACCTAGGAAACCAGCTAGAAGAACGCCTAAACAACCCGAGCGTGTGGTGATCTCGTGAAGCTTACGAAGCCACATCCCCATAACCGAGGTCTCTCTCGGCCTAGTTGTTCCAGAAATCTAACAGCCTCCCTTTAGCCAAAGGATCTCTTTGCAGGAGTCGGCAAAGATCTAGGCGGCTAGGAGAAGATATATCACGTTAACGACAGGGACAAATTAAGAACCTGTGTTGTAGTCAAAGGAGTAGATGCATATCTTCTAACAGAATTCAACAGTGGCGACCTAACAGTGATGCTGCTGAAAATGGAAAAAAGAAACGGAGAGGAAAGAAACCTAGTCGTGGGCTCAGTTCATATGCCATATGACTTGAGTGAACTACCCCCGTAAGAAGACGTTAAACGATTGGTCTCCTTCACCAAAGGCAAAAGGCTGAACCTACTCCTGAGTTGCGATGCCAACTTCCACCATATAGTATGGGGCAGCTCTGATATATCAATCCGAGAGAGGAAAGCTTTATTGGGCTTCATAATAAAGGAGGAATTACACATTCTCAATGCAGGAAATGAATCTATCTTCATCTAGAAGACAGGAAATGATTGACATCACAATTCGCACTATGGTTTGATGAATCAGGTAAAGAACTGGAGGGTCTCTAACGAACCTTCAGGTTTGGGCTATAGACAGATCCGTTATAAACTTGAGCAGATTATTATCACAAAGAATGGATCAGAAATTCAAAACATATAAACTAGGATGGCTATAGAGCCGATCTCAGGAGTCAACTCGTAAGTGTTTTCCAGAAATTTTATAATTCAGAAGATCTGAAAGTAGCTTCGCTCTTCGTGAGCGGGGCTATCAAGGAATTGTTTGAATTTAATAATTAATTCCAAATTTAAATGCAAAAATCTACAGGCCAAGTTCCTTGATGGAACGCAGAGTCAAGTAAGCTCAAGACTGAAGCAAGAGGACTTTTCAATAAAAGAGAACATAGACCCTAGAAGTTTGGAAAAGATATAAAAAATGCCAACGGGCATATAAAAAAACCGTTGGTAAAAGGAGAAGCTAGAGGAAATATTGTGAGAATATTGAGGGCTTACGAAAAGCCTCAAGACTCCACACAATCTTCAGCTTCGATGAAAATACCTGTTGGAGCTGTTGAAAACTACCAGACGGCAATTATACAGGGTTCGCCACCAAAATCCAGGCAAAAAAAATTTGAATTTCCCGCCTCATTTGACTTCGGTGGTAAGTTATTGACGTTCGGGCGAGTCAGATGTTTGTAATAAGCGTGCATTACCTCAAAATGTCCGAACAGATAAGATCGAATGCGGAATACAACCGAAGAGCGGCGATAATCGAAGGCCTTCGCGCTGGGTGTGCGCAGACCGAAATTCGGTTCTTCGTGTACCCGAGATCGACCATATATGATGTTGCGGCTAAATATAATATATAATAACTAGGACGAAGTTTTCGGCCTCTGTCCTAGGCGTAGTCTCCAGTGAGAGTCACGTCATGCCGCCATATTTTTTTCAAAAGAAAGAAACCGTCACAAAAGAGGTTTATTTACACGTTTTGACTAGAGTAGTGAAGTCGTGGATAGATACCATGGCCGCCGAGAGGCCGTACACCTTCCAGCAGAACGGCGCGTTGACTCACACAAATCACTTAGTTCAAAACTGGCTGATAATGTGGAAATGCTTTGGTCCAAGGAATTCTGGCCTCCGAACAGTACAGATTTGAATCCGTTGGACTGCTACGTGTGGAATGTTATTGAACGAGTGACCAACAGGGCGAGACATTCCAACGTGACATCTCTCCAGGTCGCTATCGAAGCGACATTCGCCAATATAGACAAGGATGAATTGTAGAGCGTGCCAGCGCTTCAAGACGAGGATCGAAGCAGTCATCGAAGCAAAAAGGGGTTATATAGAGTAATTTTACACAAAAAATATACCACTACTGATATACACAAAGTTTTTTGTAATTTTTACATTTTGATACAATAGATTGATGACAATAGAATTTTGTTTAAACAAATTGTTCAATTTGTTCGGGTTTTGGTAGCGGATCCTGTACTTCCTAAGTACCTAAAGCAAGAGAGCAAAAGTTATCCCTAATATCCCTAGTGGAAACGGAGACGATACAATAGGAGCTATATATAGGGTGTCGGAAAATGTATATATTAATATATAATATAAAAGTATTGCACAATGTTTTTATATTATATATTAATACATATATTTTACGACATTCTATGTACAGCTCCTTTACTATGATTCTGTTGGGTAGAACAGGGTAGCCAACATATAAGCCTGACCCACTAAATCGAGTTCGGGACGAATCAGTGGATTGAAAGTGTGTTCTTTTTGGACAGTTACGCGTTTTAAGCGCTTATAAACATCGTTTTCACCATTCCTTTTGGCATCGTGAGCGCTCACAGAATGCATAATTCTGATTAATAGAAACTTATGTTTCTCGGTCATTTAACAAAAAAAGAATATGTAATGACGTAATTGTGACGTCATAGTTCGCGTTTATAAACGCTTCTCCCATCGAGATAGGACAGCGTGAGCGTGAACGTTTATGCGTGGTCTACAATAACAGTAGGAATATGTTTATAAGAAGTAAGAGTAGGAAATTAACCAATCATAGTCGAATGTAAGGAGAATAATTCACTATTATTGGTTAACTTCTTACTCTTACTTCTTACAAACATATTCCCACTGTTCATTGTAGACTACGCTTTAAAAGAACGCAAGATGTCACGTCCTACCGATTGTTCCCACCATATGGTGATTTTCTTTTTCGCGTAGTACTATCCAAAAGGCTAATATCCCTACAAGAAATGCCCCATCTACCTTCTTCCCCTGTTCGTATTCCTGCGCAGTTCGAATTCTGCAGCAACTCCTTGCAGTTGCGACTAGCCTGGATATAACAAAAATGATCTTTAACCTATGAATACAGAAGTAAACATGGCAAAGAGAAGATCCCATAGACGTATAATAACTAGACTGTGCATTCAGCCGAAGAGTCGTTAAATGTTAGAGAGAGATGTTGCTGTACTAGTACCATTCTGTCTTCATCTGATAATATACGGAATGGGGATTTCAGCCTCACTATGAAAGGATTCTTTACCCCACTATACATCTTTAGAAAAAAACGGAATGGTACTCGTACGGCAATTATCTCTTTATACTTTCTGACGTACTCATACAAAGGGAAACGTTGATATTGCGCGGTCTAGTTATTATATGTCTATAAAAGATCCCGATTGACCATGTTACAATTAACCACCACCAACCACAACCAGTCGTGATTTGGTTTTCTACTATTGCCCAATATATGTAGATCAATAAAGACGTGGTCAATCGAGTCCCACTCGGAAAAAAAACACGTTTAGAAACCGATAAGTTTATTATTGTTAAAGTTATAAATTGCTGGCAGGAAAGGATGATCCTTCTTAGTTAAACCACATATCGAATGTATTAAGCCTTTAAGAACCTTTAAGAGCAAAACATGGATGTTTTAGTGCTATTATAAAATTAATTATTATCTTTTTAATATTAATGTGATTGTGAGAGAATATAATGTCTAACATGTGATGCTTAAGTAAATAATATTAGAATCAGCTTTTTATACGCCATTAATGTGCTCACAACCTTTTATAAATACCAAAGGAAACGACTTGGTGTAAGCATTCGCAAGCGCTTAACAACCAAAAAGAACAACTGAAAAACGCTTATAAGCATGAGCGCTTACGCGCGTGAGCGTCCAAAGAGAATGCACCCTGAGTATACGACATATTTGGCCTGTTCTTTTTAGTTGCACTGCTGAATTAGTACAATAAATTGATGCGAGAAAACATATACTTGTCTCACTTTAACTTATTGCTCCGGTTCAGCAATGCAGCTAAAAAGAACAGACCAATTGTAGAACAGACCTAGTCGTTTTGAGTGTAGTTTATTACGTCACGTCCTGCATACCTCCTACCACGTATTTTTACTACATGCTACTTCCTTATATTCTTTATTTAATGCACTCGACAATGCTTGATATCGTCTCACCTATCTAATCGATCTGTGCCTCGTCATAAAAATAGAGAAGTTGGAAATATCGGTATTTCCACATGTCGCGTCGCATCTCGGTCAGATAACAGACATTCTAACGTATGACAGCCGATTACCACTCTGGTGATCGGTATATATTGTTCGAGTGTTGTTCGAGAGTATTGCTTGAACGTGACTGCTTTGGTAGTTATATCTCCGGAGGGTTCTCGGTTAACCGACAGGTATTCGTGAGAAAGGAAGAGAAAGAAGAAAGTCGAGCGAAAAACTCAAAGTACAACGCGAATGCATGCTGTATATGCGTGAAGTAAACTCGCATTTACATTGTACGAACGCGTACTTCCACGCTGTGCAGTCGCAAGCCGAAAATGCAGTGTCGCTCCATTATGACGTTACGATGTGCTTTTCGCCCACATGTACGCTCCCGAGAGCGCCTATGAGATCCAATCAGTGTCACGATTATGTACAATGTCGACGCTGCAATTAAGCATGCAGGACAGAAAGGACCTGGACAAGTTCACGAAATACCTGGCGCTAAGGGCTGCCCAAATCATAGTGCAGTCGAGGTCAGGTCAGAAAGTCAACACTACGTGCAAGCCGGACTCCTCGGCTGGTGATTGGGTAAAAATAAACTTTGCTCAGATTTGGACAGCTCATTTGGTTTAACTCTGCTGTTTTATGGTGGTAATTATTTAGTTTAGTTGTATCAGCATAAATATCGATAAAAATATGCTTATTCAACGCGCTTTTGCATGAAATAAAAGAATTTTGCAGAAAAAAGTGTCGCTCTGCCTCGCGAAGCGAGATATTAATCATTAAAGTTGACGACAGGTTAGGAAATCTGTCATATCGATGAAAAAGCGACATGAGTATGCTCTGTGGCCACATTAAATAATGTACTTATTTAAAATATTGTTATCAGAATTTATAATTACTCCATTATTTTTTGTATTTGTATTTATTTTGTTTTTATTTGTTTCTATTTAACAAATATACCTTGTGTAGGGGTCTATGCTAATCTCCAATAAAGATGAAAGAAAACTAAATTTATTATATTTAAATATATAAAATATATTTAAGTATATAAAAATGTAAAAATATACATAAATATATATACATATATAATATGTATACATATTTATGTATATTTTTATATATTTAAATATAATAAATTTAGTTATTTTCTTCTTAAAACTGAAACTTTTTGCCTCACTACAGTATGAGAGATGAGTCTATCTTATATCAAAATTGAAACAAATTGAAGATTAACATAGACCCCTATACAAGTATATATCTATATATATATATATATATTAAATAGAAACAAATAAATATAAAAAATAATGAATTAGAAATTCAGATAACAATATTTTAAAGTAAATTATAAGTTAACAATATATCTTGTGTAGGGGCCTTTGCTAGTCTTCTCTGTTTTAATTTTAATATGAAATAGACTTATCGCATACATTTTAGTAAAGCAAAGATTTAATATTTATATTCATGGTAATTATTTAGTTTAATGTGACCACAGAGCATGCTCATGTTGCTACATTTCATCGAAATGACAGATTTCCTAACCTGACAAGTCATCAACTTTAACGATTAATATCTTGCTTTAGGGGCAGAGAGACACTTCTTTTCTGAGATTCTTTTGTTTCGTGCCAAAACGCATTGAATAAGCGTAATTTTATCGATATTTATATATTATGTTGATGCAGCTAAACTAAATAATCATTGAATATTTTGTATAAAGAAAGTAATTTTTGAAGGCTACGTTTCTTTTCTCCCCATTGCCACTCTAGCTTGCCCTGCGAGCATACAACTGGCAGTCATGATGTTCATAGCTTCAGGACAGTTGGCATTACGAAATCTGTGAGGTGCTTGCTAATGTTTGACAGCTTCTTTCGAAACAACTTTATATATATTTCTATACTCTAGCAATATACATTTATATATTATTAAAATTGTAATTAATTATATATAAAGGAATTATTCCAACAAGAACCTTTCAGATATTAAGAAGCGCCTCACAAATTTTATTATGTCAACTTCCTGAGACTGATCCTTGTGACTGTCAGTTACATGGCCTGCCAGGTGAGCGACAGAGGGAAGGAAGACCTGTTTCTTGAAAATCGCCTTATTTATACAAATAAAATTCCAAACATTATTATATTAGATATTGTTGTATTGAAAACATATTTAACTTATTTATCAATAGATATTTCTAAAGACTTGAGAATAAGTATAACAATGATATATTATAATTGCTTTTGCAATAATAATTTCACAGGAATATTCTTTCTCTGCAATTTGCGAAATTTATAATTTCTTGAAAGAACTCTGTTCATATATCAAAATATTGAAGTGCAATCAAATAAATTGAACGGGTCATAGTCACATTCTTTTTCTGACCTTCAAAACATGTAAATATTTTTATATCTGATTTTATAGTTTAATTTGGCGATAAAAGAACTACCAGAGGTTTTGGCTGATGCTAAGAGGGCACTTTGTGGAGAAATAGTAAGTTCCACTGTACCACTCTGTATAGAAATCTCTTTAAAAACAGTGGAAGGTGATACAATGGTTTTGGAAACATGGAGCCTCGGTGTTTTGCCAGAGCAGAGTGACCCAACTGTAAGAGTTACATATACTGTATACAATAGAATGGGGATTCTATTGAAATCCTTGCTTTCTGTCTCAAGAGTCACACCTGCTTATAAACTAAGCAGGCGGCAAGGTCCAGATTCTTACACTATGTGTTATAAAATCTACATGGGAGAACCTCAATTACATGTCTTAGGTATAGTTATTTAATGTGTATGTTACTTAAGTTAGGGAGAAATTCCAAATTATTTTCTTACTCCTTACAATTTATTGGAATGGAATTTATTCCTAGTTATGAAAAAACTTATTATTGATTACTTAACAGGTGATAACTATAAACATGTAAGAGTGGGTCAATTGTGTACCCCGGTAGGTACCATACACTTATCAGTCTCTTATAGAACGAAAATGACCATATCACCCACTCACACGGGACGAGATTCTATCATGCTCAAGAGCGATCATTTTCACTCAGATTTAAGTCCGCGTCACGTGCGGTATCAGCAAAAGTAAGAAAACAACTTAGAAGTAATCCAAGGTTGACAAGTATATTTATTCAATATAATGTAATTTAATAATATAATAATAATAATATACTTTAAATCATATTTGTAGTGAAGAGACATCTAAATCTCTCAGTGATACCATCAAAGTTGGCGCATTTGTAGTAAACAAACCCGTTATTGTTAACGAGGAGGATCTTGTGATACCGGACGTGCCGTTCAGTTCCCTGTTGACGCCTCGACAAACGTCGCCTCCTCCAGTGTCACTAGTAGATGTTACAAAGACTGCAACGGCAGCTGCCGCGACCGACAGCAACAACGGAAATAATGAAAGACTCATTAACGATAATACAACTTCGAAGTGCGCCTCTCAAAATGGATCTAGAAGAAGTAGTTGCTCAATGACTAGTGCCAACGATGATTTTATTATGGTAGATTTGGTAATTGATGCTCCTAATTCGAACACGATAATTATTATGACAATCCGCCATGTGCTATAGTGTGAAATTTGCTCAATCTGCCTGGATAAAAATGTCCAAGTATCCGATGTGTTTTATCAGCAACTATTATAAATCATTAAAAATGAAAAAAAAATATGTTTACATATATTTTTTACAGAATTTTGGTTTTATTAACGGATAACAAAAAATTTGTTTTCTTGATTTGTTTTCTTGAAGATAATTTCATGATTTTAATAAAATCTTAATTTAAAATTTGTTCAGATATATAAATTTGAAAATTCAAATGTCGCAAAACGGTAATGTTCTGTTGATATTGATTACAAGAATTTGCAAGTCAAAGAAAATATCTATGACATTACTTAAACTTTCATATTTTCCTTCGAAAAATTTGAAATTGTGTGCACAATAATTATGCATATAGTCAGACGAAATACTGTGGTCCTTTTAGATTGGGCAAATTTAACTGGGTTTGTGCGAGGAACAAACTTGGAATGTTATTGTTGCAGAAAACTCCGTTCGCCGTCACAAATACTAATAGCGACTTAGGAGCATTCTATCGAGAATGTCAAAGTGCCCCGCAATTGCAAGCCTTCATGGAAGAAAGAACGCTGGCGGAACAAGTGGGAGATCTCACTAAACAATTGGAAACATTCGAGACGAATATGCAACATTACGAAGACGTTCTGTCATCGTTGTGTCAAACCGAGAATAATAATTAAGGCTGAGCTGTGCACTTTCGAAGTCTTAATTTGAGCGAGAACGCGATTGTGTTCAGCTACACATATGGTGAATAAGAAACGTATTTGCACATGAAATAAGAAAAATGTTGCTACAATATCCTCTTGTCCAGTATATTGATATAAAAGAAGACATTGCATTCTGATAGAAATCTTGCAGCAATATATTTCTTTTTATTGTGTATTATTTAAGAAATAGTATGAGAAAATGCAAATACATTTTTTTACCTACTATATGCATCATATCCATTATGTCAAATGTTAAAATTTTTTTAATCGTATTTATCATTCATGCATAAGATGATCAAAATTTCGTTTAACGTCAGGTTTGTCCTTTGTTAAATTTTAATTGGTTAGCTGAATGTTTCTTCTCATAAAAGGAAGAAACAACGATAGATGAACAAATTGAAAGGACCCATAAATGTTGAGCTCAATGATCATCATTGTTGTATACATAAGTATATATTTGGATGGGACAATATAACATGAATAAGTAGAAGTTATATTGGCATAAACGGTTTCTAAATGAAAGAAAGAATCTCTTTATTTAACGAATTTGAACAAGCCTGGAATATATTTCTTCATTTTTCGTGATTCATAGTTCTGAAAATCTATAAATATGTTAAAAAATCATAATACGTTCCGAAATTTCAAGTTTAATATATGCTATGAATTTCTCTTTTAGTAAATACCGGAAAACTACTCGAATGTATGTGTTCGCTGATATAGAAAAGATGTTTATATAAGAGAGAACAATTTCAGAATCTAACGAACATATAGTACTTTCTGAACCAAACGTAAACCGTTTGTTAAACTTTAAATTTATTTACTCTTTGATATGTGCTGCTAAATGAAAACTTTTTAATCAATAGGGATTGAGAAACTAATCGTTTTGAATATGGAAACAATTTTCGGTTTTGGTGATACTTGCATCTCTGCGTGGAATCGTACAATTTTTTTTACGTAAATCGATTCTTCTAGTCATGTTACATATAAAAGTATTAAAATAAGATCATTAAAAAGAATATGAATATATATGATGTACCGTTCTCACATATATTTTATTTTATTATAAAATATACTGTATATTCTAAATATACAGAATATCTGTATCATTCTAATCTTCTACTGATAAGATATCGAGATTTAGTTCTATAGTTGTGAGGAAGACACATTTTAATAAAAAAAATATTTACTTTAGATTGCTCCGTTAAAAATACTTCAAGATCACTCTTAAAATTTTTTAAATAGAATATAATTTTTTATAATGTAAATCGATTCCTTAAATTATTCTGTGTATAAAAGTACTAAAATAAGATCACACACCGAAAAGTAAATACTTTCTGAGACATTTTATATTTTATCCTGGTACTTTTCAGCATAAGATATGAAATATTTCGTAAAATATTTACTTCTCTGTGAGCTCACCCCAATAGTTTTATACGTAGAATATAGATGGGATCAATGTCATCATTGTAGAAATTAGAAAAATATAGATATAAATAAAATAAGGAAAACATACACATTTAGATATATCTAA